TGTCTTTCATTTCCACAAAAAAAAAACGAAATGACTTTCCGAACAACCCTATATAATCTTAAGCATATTTTACAACTTAAAAAGAAACTTCTCCCCCAAGACGGTATAAAAGAATATCTAAACATACATACTAGGGTGGCACACAAATATTGACTATTTTTTTTTCAATCTCGAGTGAAAAAATGTTAGTTTTCGATGTTTTAAGAACTCTCTCCAAAGGACAGCTCAAAAAAAATGTCGTTCCAAATTTTTTAAGACTTCAAAAATCACCAAAAATCGATTTTTTTTATTCAAATTTTTTTTCTTGTTACGGTATAATTTCATAGACCAAAAAATAAGTTTCTGGGAGTTTCAGTTCAAAATTTGAATTTTGAAAGGTCTATTAGTGGGTGCAATGGATTTTATGACGCAATGGTTTTAATTGAAATTCATATCAAATTTTTCAAGAAAAATATATAAACACCTGCCTTTTGTATAAAAGTAATGAATGAAAATATGAAATAACAATCTTACCTTTATTGCTATTGTTGTTTGCAGCTGTTGATACTAATTCGATTATTAACAACACAAGGATGCCTGTGATCACTAGATTCCGAAATTTACACCACTTTGGAGGTATCTGAAAAAAGCAAGTAATTTAAAAAATTAGTACACTAGATGTATTAAATAATGGCCAAAACAAAAATATTTAAACGCCTGGTAATGCTTTCTGAAATGATAAATATAAATATTATATTAAAAAAAATTATAAAAAGAGACTTATTAAAAGCAGAATCAGGAGTTAAGAGGAGAAGAGATAGACCTGGATTAGATTACTGTTCGCAAATNTGTACAATTTAAACAACTTAAGCAAGAAAACTCTTGAGATAAACCCTTTCAAAGTTTTACGTTTGTTATTGTGTATCGATTTACCTAATTAGTTATTAGTTGTAAATTCTATATTATGTTATATATATATATTATTTATTTTGTCAAACATTTTCCGTTGGTTGAAGAAATGTTATCTAAGCATGTAACTTGCAATTTTTTCCCTCTCATTACCTATTTCTGTAAATGTTTATGCGAAGACACATAATAAATATGCGCAAGTCCCTAATTAAACAACAAGTATAACTTGAAGTTGTTTATTGGATAATGGAATATGAGCTAGAAACACAGAATGTAATTACGACTTTGAAAATGGCAGTCCTTGTCTGTTGTCTCCAGCTCGTTGTCAATCCGAGGTAATGAGATGGGATTTTCATGCCCCAGTTGTTCAGATAAGTAGATTCACGAAAGCGAATGTGGTGGCAACGTCGTTGGCTGTAAGCTGTATGTCAATATATCATCATCTACATTGATGTCGATGTTCATTTGTATGTAGGTACGTCGTGGCTGATATGACAGGATTTAGGAATATTAACCCTCGGTTGAAGTTAATGGGTTATTCAAATATCGGGAAAGGGAGATAAGTGGAAAATTCTTGATCCAACTGGTATCGAAATGGGTATCGCAAAACTGTTCTTGACTTAAGCCGGTGATAGGTTTAGGTGCTCTTATTCTATCAAAACCAGGGGCATCACTTCGTTTTTGTTTTCTGAATCCAAGTCAGATTATATCAAATAAAAAGAACAGGGTGTGTCCGTTCGGTTTGATAACAGGGAGGTTTTAAACAGTAAAAATTTAATTCGTTATCATCTGTTCTTTAATAAAATTACTTATTAATAAGTCGAGATCCTTCACTACCCTAGACAAAAATTTTCAGTCTCTCAGAGATTTTCAGAGTCTTTCAGCGTCTCTCACAGTCTCTCAGTTATTGCCTAGGTGTTTTTATGGATCTCTCACAGTCTCTGTATGAGAGACTCGAACGATAAAATTGTTAATTCAGAGATTCGAGTCTCTCACAGAGAGACTGAATGAATAAAACTGAAAAATTGAGAGACTCGAGTCTCTCGTAGAAAGACTGGGATCTCTGAAATATGTTGAACTTAGAAAATTTTAACCATGTCTATCGATACACCATTTATAGAGAGATTCAAGTCTCTCGTTCAGAAATTCGAGTCTCTCGTTCAGAAACACTAAACAGTTTTTTTGACAGTCTCTCGACAGTCTCTCTCAGCGACAGCAGAGAGACTCGATGAGAGATGGAGACTCGAGTCTCGCTTTGAGAGACTCTGAGAGACTGAACATTTTTATCTCAGGTATCATTATACTTAATCATAGAAGCTTTTCTCTACCTCTTTTTTCATTGCTATTTTCATCATTTTCTTCTAGTCTTTTCGCTTTTGATTTCACTCAAGAGTAGTGATGAGCAAAGACCAAAATCAAGACTGTCCCATTAATAATCTGAATTTTGACATATTTCTTTAAAAATTATTTCAAATTTCTTAATTGTTACAATTAAATTTGTAATATCAACTGAAATACCTAGTCAATCTATTTCTGCTGGGATTTTATTTTTACAAATTCGGGTCCAACTTGTAATTTTTATTATTTTCGCTTGCGAAGCAACGGGCTAGTGGGATAAATTGTAAATATCGCTTTAATATTTAGGTAAACTTTTGTTTTTTTTCTTTCTTTTCTCCGTGTAGTGTTAAAATAGTAAAGAAAATTGAAAATTTCAAATACTGAAAATATTTTGTTCAAAGAAAAGAATAATTGAAACTGCTTTAAATAGTTTAACTTATAAATCCACTTGAAGTAGTAATTTTTCTTTTTATTTGATCTTGGTTTTAGTATGGGATTTGTTCGTTGTATTAAGTCTGATTAACATTACCTTTAGTATATGTTTTTTGTTTTACTGTCTACTTCGCCTTCTTATATTGACCCAAGGTGGTTAAACAGAATAGAAAAATGTTAAAGGTTTATATCGCTTATTAGAACATAAGTATTTATAAATACGTAACACTATGCTGTAACAGTAGTTATGTACCTGCGTAATATATTATAGGTAAGGTATGTCCGTACATGGAAATATTTTTTTTTCAAAGCAAACGAGAAGCTGTAACACTAGATTACAATCTTCATTAAATTGCATAATAACAGAACCACATGTATAAAAGACAAAACCACTGCCCTTGAATGGAATTCCTTTACCTAAACGGGTATATAATAAAACATGTTTCCTTTCTTCAAGGTTTTTGCTATTAGTTATTAGAGTTATAGGCAATTACGCGATATTTTAATATTCACAATAGATATTCAGACACACTTGACAAAAGTAGCAGTTTTGGAATGTAAACAAACGATTAAAATAACGCGACAAATGTTTTTCGAGAGTATACAATTTAACAATTGCCTTGCAGAAGGTAAAAATAAATGACCTTTAAAAGGTTCAACAGAATTTTAACGGTCGTTTGCATAATTTTAATGATTTTCATGTCAGTGATACATTATTTAATAATTATGTACTAAAATCCAACCTACTAACCTTTACATTTACGATACAAATAGCCGAACATTCGAGAAAATCCAAAAATAAGTTTACTTATAAGTCACTATTAGTAACTTTTTATTTAATTATCCAAAACAATTTAACATCTAGAATGCCATATATCGTTTTCTTTAACACAAACTTATCTGGATTATCAAAAGTAATTTTTTTATAATTGAATCTGGTATTTAAAACAATATACAATTGGCAAATAGACCTGTCTCAGCTTTATAGATGTATGTCATGATAAAGTCAGGTTTTTCTCAATGCTGTTAAATCAATTCAGTTGTTTTTAGTTTCAAGACGGCTGTTTGATACAATAAAATTCAGTTTTAGCAAAAAAGGCACGATCAATACGGCTTAAATGTGAAGGCTGCTGTTTCGAAATTAAACATATTCTTTTGAAACAAATGATAGAATTTGACGTTCTAATTGTTACTAGTGAGGTGACAGTCACATTTCAATTATTAATTATTTGAGAGTTTGTTTTTGTTAATTATAAATTTCTTAAGGTAAATCTGTTTTCGGGGAAATAGAGAAAGTAAAATAATTCACTTACATTAGAAAGCATAGTTGTAGGTAGGCAAGAAGACTAGAGATAGGAGCAGAACCTACAGCGAATCCGATTTGACGCATAGACAAGATTTTAAAGGAAAAGAAAACAATCTTTACCCCCAACAAGAGCTAACTAACACCCCAATTGACCCTAAATTATTATGGTTTTCGAGCTACGGAGACCTATAGGGTGTTTCTATAAAATGTAGCAAACTTACAGAAGGTAATAGGTGATAAAATAAGATAATGAAGTAATGTTTAATGGTCTAAAAGTCAACCGTTTTCGGGAAGAACGTATTTCAAGGGTCAGTCCGGCCCTGGTAGAATCACGCAAAGAAATACGATATTGCAACGTCGCATTCAATCAGCTGCTAATTGACAGCATCCAAGTTGTAGTTTTTTTGTATTTTAGTACTCATACATGGTTTGTTATTTGTTAGATTAGATTAAATGTGATTAACGATGTTCAGAATAGTATTATTCCATTGAACAGTTGCGTGAGTGTTTGGACGAATAGTTGCCAATTCACAGCCAGGGCCGGCTTCGGATTGCAACTTCTTCTAATTTACTTACAATTTATTTTGTCCTCTATTAATCACGTTGCTTTACTCAGCATGCGATTCCCTATTTCATCTGGATAACACCCTCCAGAACTTGTTTCGGATGCACCCTGTAATACCCTATACATGTATAATGACATCCCCGCTAGATATTATACTTATATTATAAAAGAACATAAACTTTCACGACCAGAATCTATTGTAAAACTATTATTCAAGTTAGGTCCAGACGTTTCGTCAGGGCAACTGAGACTGGCATCTTCAGTAGTGCAGCTGACAACGTTAACGAAGGTTATGCTTATAATAAAACAGTGGATAAATGTATGAACCCCAAAATCGTCATTTACAAACAAAGGATACAGTGTAATATTTTCCCATTTTATTGTCGAGATACTTTTTTTTAATAACGCAATTCATTTTAACTCTCACGACCTGAATAACAAAAACCCGGGCTTTAAATGTACGTAGTACGAAGCGTGTGATAATGTCTGGAATACTAAACAAACTCGTGGGCGTTTCATGTGATTCAGACAGAACAAAGACAAAATTTTAAGACTTGAGTGTAGTTTAACGCCTGCTACTATCTCTCGTTGATGAGGATTGTTTTTAACTTAATTTAAGTAAAGTTATTGGTCTTCTTCCAAAAAGCATCATCATAAGGTCGTCAGACTGGTTGGACACGTACCTCCACTTGGACAAAACTAAAAAAAAAACTTTTGGGTGTTTCCTAGTGGGCGGGCAGTCCCTCCGGACTACGCCGGAAGGTACGGCGGAAGGCCCTCTTCAGCCTGCTTTCAGAAATCGTGGGAATGGGTGGGTGGTGGTTCGAGTGAGAAAGTTGAGACGGACGAAATGAAGACAGAAGAGAGTGAAAGATTATCTGTGGATTATTGCTGCCTCAGCATTTGCCTAAGTGATCCAAGGAAACCACAGAAAAACTTGGACCAAGGCAGACGGACCCGGAATCGAACCGGCGTCCTCCCGAATGCTAAACCTTTAGGCCATGCCGCTCGGTTGGTTGGACACGTACCTCCACCCTTACCCATCCTAAGCTAATCTTCGCATTTCCCTAAAATTAGAACAAACCTTTGG